CGCTTTTCCCATGTCAAACTTAAGTAAACACTTTCAAAGCTGAATAAAGCTGAGACGGGAGATCAGATTTGAATGAGTTTTTGTATAAGTGATTGGCACATCATGAAATGTGGGTTGCAACAACTTTCGCAGATTTTCCGCCCCTCATGATGAGATATGAGTGAATGAAAGGCTCTTTGAAATTTTCCACTCATAACGATTGAAGGTCACTTGAAGAAACTACGTTAACAATTTTCATTTGAGATGCTATGACCCATTCAGTTATGAACCTGACGGAATAAAGAGTTGGAACCTGTAGTCACCTCAGAAATTAATTATACTGAACTGAGGTGGAATTGGCGGTGTTAACAAAGTCTTTCGGGATGTACCACGCACTCGGCTCTCTTAAAAACTTATAAAAAATACTCCATTAACCCTACCTTACTTTGTAACTTAGTAACTTGGTCACCTTAGACAGTTTCGTTGTCATCACACCTATTCTGGAGGATTAGGGAGGGGAGTTGGCCCATGGAGTGGGTGACTAATGAGGAACACCCTTAGATATTCAAGCTACGCCTGGCCGCGAACCGTCATCATCTACAAACTGCCTTCTCGACCTTACCGTAACGATTGGCATCAAATGTCGGTAGGTTTTACACCGCAAACTATCATAAACACGTGAAGAACAGGAAACGATCTTGCGAGGGATCGACAAATCAACCATGAGCGTACAGTTTCACGTGAACTCCTTACGACCGAATTACAGCCAAGTTTTCTCTATTTCAAGCATACATATTTTCTTATTATTAATTTATTATTACTTACTTATTATATGTTTTATTTTTATATTATATATATTTTCATATATTATTACCTTATTTATTTTATAGTTTTCTGAGCTTTTTCCTTCTCAGGGTCCCCATACATACTCTACTTCGGTGATAGGAGGTTTGCTTTCACGGCCCTGCACTACTTCTCCCTTCAAATAAGGTGAGTATCCAAAAATTTCAAGGATGTGATTGCTATTTGTTCAACCTATCACGGGCGGTCGTTATGTGTGCATCTCTTATAACTTTGTTACTAAAAGGATGGGATATCTCCCCATTTCGTGGGATGACGGCCCTACAATTGAGGAAGAGAAAAATTCTTGCTTAGACGTTGGTCACTTCCTTTAGACTCGAGTCCCTGTCTCTATATCTTTACGCTTTTGATTGGGAATAAGTGCGCGGGGGCTATAGAGGTCTCGCAAAATTTCGAGATGAAACGTTTCACGTTATCCTTTTCGTTCATAACAAGCACGGGACATACTCAGCCCCCTGAGTTACAATATT